CGGCCCGGCTCTATGCGCGGCGCGGAGGAAGTAGATGCCGGACATAATCTAAGGGAGGGGTGTGGGGGTTGGGGGGGTTGGGGGGGTTGGGAGGGGGATGTGAGCGGGGGATGTCAAGTATCTCCTGCGTGTAGGGCAGGGAGTTGCGCCGCTCCTATTTGAAGCAACAGGCCTACTTCTGCTGAGGATTTTCAGTTCGATCCGCTCAGGATGAGGTCCTAGAGTCCTGGAGGCCTATTCTCTCGAGCTGTCGGCCCTTCACGTTCCGGAACTGGAACCTTTTGCTCGGCAGGCAGCAGCTGCTCCAGCAAAGATCAGCAAAGCGCCGGTGGCTTGTGCTTCTCGAGCATGGGTAGGAGCTCGTTGGTCAGCCCAACAGCCACCCCAATGCAGAAGCGGCCGGAGGGGGGTCTGTGCGGGGTGGGGTGGGGAGGGGGCCTTAGCTTGGAACGGAGCGCGCACGACAGACGCCCAGGGGAGGGCATAGACAAGGGCTAAAGGCATTTGTTGTGATGCGCAGGGGAGGGGTTAGGAACCTCTAAATGCCGTTCAGCAGGGCAAGGCAAACTTACGCAGCTGCTCATTGAAAGGGGATACAATTCTCTCGAGCGAAAAGCCATGTTCTCCGACATGAGCTATCATCGTCAATATCGGGCCTTAGAGTCTACCAAAGAGGGAAATTTGTCCTCCCTAAACACCGCTCAGTTGACATGAAGAGAATCGCCGGTTTCCTCGGGTTCAAGACCGGGCATGAAATGGGTGGTTGTAAAAATTATGGCCCCTTTTTGGATCCCTAATATGATACGGCACCCAATATTTAGGGTACCCAAAAAGGAGCCATAATCTTGACAACCACCCAAATGATGTGAACATCTCTGAAGTTCCAAGCCTCTCGTCTCAGGACATCGTGCACTTCACGAAAGAAGGAAAGCTGGTATACTATGAGGGGAATTTTGATGCCTTCAGGCTGTCAGCCTTGAATCTAGGGTTATATGGGGATAATGGAAAAGAAAATGGAATTTATTATAATGGTTTATATAGGGATTATAGAGGTTATATCGTTTATATAGGGATTATAGGGATTATATGGTTTATAATATAGGGATTATAGGGATTATATTGGCGTTTGTTCCTTGCAAACCTTTTATGCACGACATGGACAGGGCAAAGACAAAGCTTGATGCAGAGGGAGCCAAAAGTGCCAGAGACCCAGAGCCAAACAGCGTTTGACCATCAACTGGAATTTGACTCTTCTCAGACTTGGTACAGGTAATTACAAAAAAAGTTATGGACTTCAAGCACTGTATGTGTAGGTACCTGCACGAGCCCTGTCCAGGTGCTAACTGTGCGAGGCCACGAGGGCAAGACGCAGGACGACCAAGACAAGTGACCCGTTGGCACTCTGATGGTGCAAGCTATAGTCCCCCTTCAGCAGATAGAATGGGATTCCCCCAAAACCAGCATGAGCTCCCCATATACCATATTCTATCTGCTTTTGGGAGACTGCAGCCGTGCTCAACCTTTTGGTCTGTTGCGGAGGCCGGCCGATGCAAAGCAGCTGGGGGTCATGCCCGCAGACGGAGATGAAGATGGCATGAGGTTCCCTATGCCAGGCGCATTGTTGTCCTTGGGTCCGTTTGGGAACTGTGCAATCTGTAGACATGAAGATGCTGGGGGAAAACTCCTGAAGACATGCCATCCCGTGAGGATGGGAGCGTAAACACTGCGATTCTAGGATTCCGCGTAGCCAAATTGGATTGTTTTCAATTGAGGGGCTTTTTTTTCTAAGGGTGCAGAGCCCAACTTCATGGTGTCAACTCTCAACTGCTTGGTTTAGGGTTTAGTAGAGTTCCGTTCTCATGCTTCTAAGTCGGAAGTCCATGGTGGCATATCTCCAACATTTGGAAGGATCCTCAGCCAATTCCCACTCTTTTCGAAGAATATCTTGCTCTTAATTCCTAGACTTCTTCCAAAGATTGAACCCCCTTCGTTGCAAAGTAGTTGTTGATTGAGCTTATAGTCCCCCTTAAGTAGATAGAATATGGCTTTGGGTAGATTAAAATAAGATCCCCATATACCCCATATTCTATCTACTTAAGGGGGACTAAATGTTCTTTTTTGAAGCTCGCAGGGCTGCCTCGACTGCCAGAGGTTTCCGTCATGTCTAAGTCATCGCGGAGCGAGAATTTCAATCGAACAGGTTAGAGGATGTACGAAGATATACGGCTTAAGGTCATGCGTGCGCTCGTAGGATTTCGGGGCTAAAGAATGTCAAGATTTCTGATTTGGGTCTAAGAGGGATCGAAAGCATCTCACTGGCGACCCTGCTTCCTGTCGTCCGAAGCTGGCGTGCCGGTTCTTAACTGGCTTTCCTAGACACTGCTGGCCGGGTGTCCGGCTTGAGGCCTGCGGGAGCAGAAGCCGCGGGACGTGGCACCAAGGATCATTGGAGCCAACGCGCCCTTGGCACGGGGTGTATGACAGCAAAGCGAGGAGCGAAAGTGCTTGCTGGTCGTGGTCCCTTCAAGTCTCCTTGGTGAGCAGGGAAGACATGCTTTATCCAGGGGAGGCTTCCGTGAGATCTTGGTTGACTGGCATTTGTCTGAGATTTGGGCTGCTCGATCTTCAACACCGTCTGTTGTTTTTGTTTGTGATCGTGGAAACACTTGGGCCAGCAGGCGTTTCGTTTGACAGTTGCTGATCTTGCAACGATTCAGGGTTTTAGAGGGGTCTTGTGGACGCCAACGCGCGAGGTCGTTTCATTTGTAAAGGTTCTCTTTGCCACAAGATGACCAGGCTGGCACAGCAAAGAGTGTGCTGCACCCGAGCAAGACGAGGACCTGCACCGTGCTTTACGGAGAGCCGGCAGGGCCAAACCGCACGTCCAGCTGATTGATGTCCAGTCTGAGTCTTGCGCTTGTCTGCAATCGATCAGTGGCACCTTGATGGCTTTCAAAGCGCCGTGTTCTCGGCATTGCACTTGCGGCATTGCACTTGCGTTGTTTTCAAAAACACGCACCGTGCCGTGTCACATGGAAACAGGGTGTGCCCTGCGGCCAACACAATGCTTTTACGAAGGCAACCCCTGTTGGGAACCCTTGAGGTTTCAGGGGGCGGCGTTCGTGAGACATGCGCGGAGCTTGTTGAGCAACTTAAGGAGCAACATCATTTGTTCACAAACGACCCTTATGAACTTGCCCAGACTTTTTCGCTTTCGTCTCGTTATGCATCGCGCGACTCAGCAGTTCCTTCCTGCAGCATAGGAACAAATGACGGGCTGGTTTCTTCCCGTTGTAATCATGAAGCCCAAAGGTTGCTTTTCCGGCCCAGGCTACCTAGCAGCTTGCAGGCCTGTACCTGTCACCTACAAGAAGCAGTCACATCATGTCCCATTTTGGAGATGCGACACCTGCTAGATGTAGGGGTTAGGGAATGGAAAAGAAAATGGGCCTACCACTTTACTGGGTATAAACATTGGGACCACTAGAATTTCTAGAAGGATCCATTTCTTCAGGCAAGATCGAAGGTCTCGGCACCGCCAGCAAGCCAGTAGCAACGGCCTGAAGCTCAGCCTGGTCTTCGAAATGCATTTGACGGAAACCAACGTCTGCACATGTTTCAGGTCACCAACTTGAACTTCAAGTACTTCGAGGACGGCCCGCTAGTGCAGCTTGGCTGGATTGAATACCTCAAAAACACAAGCCTCTGCCAGTCCTTTCTTGGCTGCGCAGGCTGAAAGGAGTGACTGTCCGGCTGACTATGGGCAGCCGTATTGGGGTGGTCGGTCGAAATGGGGCTGGCAAGTCAACGCGTGAGCCTCAGCTGCCTGTGGTAGAAATGTCAGGGCTTTCGGCAGTGGACTTCAGATTGCTGAACCTCCTTGCCGGAGAGCTCCTTCCCCCTGATGATGAGACGGGAGAAGTCGCTTGGACTTGATTGAATCTATGGGACATGCACCTCCTTAAGACAAAGTCCAAACGATTTTAAAGCGATCTTGACATCATGTGCTGGTTTATCCTTGCGCTCGCTCGAGAGAGAGAGAGGTTCTGCTTGATAACGCGCTGAAAGGTTATCAAGGAAGTAACTAGGCTGCATGTCGCCTGAAAAGGTTGCGACACGCTTCAAAGTTTTCCTGACGGGTGAGTAATTAATAATCTCTATGAAATTCTTATACCTCTCCATAATGTAAGAAGAGGGCAGGCCAAGATGAACGAGGGGATCCGCATACACAACAGGGATCCAATAGAGCCGTGAGAAGTGCTAGTAAAGCGTTTAGGGTGTCGGGTCTAAGGTTTAGGTGTTTAGGTTACCAAACATGATCCTCAGGTTTAGTTCATTGTGCAGGTCACTTCAGGTAACTACCATCTGTATTGGCTCCGTTCAGAGAACGAGCATTGCGTCTGACAGGAACCCTTGAGCACGAGAGAGAGAGAGAGAGAGGTTACCACAGTCTGGGTATATCGTAAAAGTATCGTAAATAATAGCGGTTTCCTGACTGCTACTCGGATTTCTAAAGGCTCCTCAAAGCCTTCAAAGGGCTTAAAAGTTTAAGCCATGCCGGAATGTTTTCGCAGGCGCATGAGCTTTTTTTGTTGGAAGTCCATTCACAGCAGCCCCAAAATCAAGCCGCACAAGTGACCTGTTGTGTTGCTCATCCAACGTCGTTGCCCTTTCTGTGGCCCCTCCATCGTGACTAGAACCAGGCTTTTGCAGGAAACTAGCTCTTGGGACAGTACGTGCATGCACCATGCATCTAAAGGGGCATGTCAGCAACAACTGCAAGTGAATGGGACGGCCTAAGCCCAAACCCATATTAGAACAAACAAGCCATCTGGACAGCAGCCCTCAACAACAGGTATCGCTGCAGCCACCCCTTTGGGTTGAATTCCTTCAAGTTGCATGTGCTGCATTCTTCGCGATCTACTGCAGGTCAGTTCGGTCTGGAGACACAGAAACCTCCGGCTGGCCTACATCGCGGCTTGGCAGAACGAGACCGTCCACACACGGGCTTGCAGTGATATCATAGTGACATCATCCTCTAAGGCCCAACACCACTTCTTTCATCTGTCCGAGTTTTTCAAGAGCACACCCTTGCACTACTTCCAGACGCGCTTCAGGCAGCCGTGACATGGGCAGCATGGCGTGACTCATGTGAGCAAAACGTTGTGATGGGGACTCCTTGGGACTGTGTCAGGCAGGGCTATGATGAGGAGACCCAGCGAAGGTTGACTCTGCCGCAGAGTGAGGAGGAGGCGCAGTACAGGAAGGCCCCTCGCCAGCAGCAGAAAGTGTGGGGTTGCTGCAAAACTGTAGCTGACCAGTGTTTTCCTGGTGCTCAGACCCAGTCAGGAGGCTACATTGGGGTCGGAAATGCATGCTAAAAGCTTCAAATAGGCCACAGCCTGTTGAGTCGACAGAGAAGTGCTGGTCAGCCAACTTCGGCTCTCTGTTCTCACTTCTTGGCTCAGGACATGGCGGGTAAACATGGCAAGCGTGGCAAGGAAGTGGAAGCGCTACTCTCTCGACAGAAGAGCCATGGTGCAATGGCATTGTTCTCTGTGGTGGCACACTTAGTGGTGTTGCAGACGTCAATGCACAACTGGCACTGCGACAAGGAGAGGCCGCCAGATCCTGTACGAGGTCAAGTGGAAGGGCTTGGATGACGCCAAGCAGATCCCCAGCTTCAATCTAGAGCTGCCAGCAGATGTTTGGAGGAGCAAGCTGGCAATTCTTGAAACAGCTCCTGACTTTGTGAAAGGAACACATACGAGCCCCTCACCAAGCTGAGACTGTTGGGCGTCGAGAAGATGTGTAACTTGCATGGACATTTCCCGTTTTCCCTTCTTGCAGAGTCAGATGTGTTAGTAAGCCTCCTCTCAGGTGCAGCTCTCGATGATAGAATTGCTTGTGCCGAAACGGCACTGAGACCGCTGAGCACCCGCGAAATTGTCAAGCATCTGGATCTCTGCAAGCAAGTTGCAGCCGCACAGGTGCTGTTCGCAGGGTAATGCTAGCTTACATTCGTTGTCGTTGCATGTGGATTCAAGGAACCCTTTGGAATCACGGAGAACATGACCTGCCACCGGATGATAGAGGGCTTCTCCGCTGGGCAGAAGAGCTGCTTGTCTGCTTAACTGAAAGCATCCTCCCAAAAGAGCAAAGCAAGCATGGCACGGAGTCTCTGACATTGCATATATTGCATGAGCAGTCAGGTAAGCTGATGATGGCTGCAGCAATGTGGACCAAACCTCATGTCATTGCTTTTGACGAGCCGACAAATTACTTGGACTTCCAGCCGCTCACTTGCACTGCAGGGGTGGAGGGTGGCACTCTGACCGCGAAGTCTCCAGCCCAGGACGGTCAACTCGCTAGCGAAAGCCATAAAGCTCTTCAAAGGCGGAACTATCGTGGTAACGCACAATGCTGATTTTCTTCAAGAAGCCTGCGATGAAATCTGGCATGTGGAAGATGGCCGAGTCACCATCGAAGGTCCCAATGCCGCAAGCGAGCAATTTATTAGCGGGAGGTTTTAGGTAGATATGCTAAGGGCAAATGTGGCAGAACTGCAGGCAAGGATGGAGCTCTCAAAAGCTTGGCCGCCAAGAACGCAGCCGCAAAGGCAGAGAAAGCCAAACAGAAGATGGAAGCTGCACGGGTCAAGGAGGAGAAGGCAGCCTCGGGGCCATCTGATGCCGAGAACGCGCTACAAGTGTATCTACAAGCCCGGCAGAAGCTGGGAGCGCCAAAGGCCGACATCAAGCTCAACAGTGTTGACCTGCGGTCCTTGGATGGCTCTGAACTCCTTCTCGGCACAGATCTCACTCTCAACCAAGGTCGGCGCTATGGTCTGATTGGTCGCAACGGGGCGGGGAAAAGCACGCTGCTGCGCGAGATTGCATATTATAAGTTTGACAAATTCCCAAAGAATCTCAAGGTGTTGATGGTGGAGCAGGAAGTAGTTGGAGATGACCGGAAGCCTGTTGAGTGGGTCCTCCACAGCGATGTTGAGAGGAGGCTCCTGCTGCAGGAGCAGAAGGCCCTTCAGGACAAAGATACGAAAGATGCTGCAGAGTCGGAGAGATTAAAGCAGATCGCGGACAGACTGCAAGAGATTGGCTCTGATGATGCTGAGCCGCGCGCTGCCAAAATCTTGCGAGGCTTCCCACTTGCCAACGAGTTTCCCATTAGAAATTGAGTTCGTAGGGAGGCTATTGTTTTTGCCAGCCTATGCTTTCAGCGTATTTGTTTGGCTTTGCGAGGACTTCAGTTCACAGAAGAGCTATTAGACACGCCGACATCTTCGCTGTCCGGTGGGTGGCGAATGCGCGTGTCGTTGGCCTCGGCCCTTTTTGCACAACCTGAGCTTCTTCTCCTAGACGAACCTACCAACCATCTAGATTTCCCAGCTGTTTCTTGTCAGCAAACTGCGCCGCTCTTGGTTTGACATGTCCTGGAACCTGTCCACGTCCCGGATTCGGCAGACTCGTTGAATTTGAAGTTGAAGCGATTTTGTCAAGGCTGATGAGGGGTAATGACTGAAGGAACCACAGGAAATGGACGATTTCACCTTCTCAAGGAAGTAGATAAGAATTCACCAAGCACATGGATTTACACGTGAACATTTTTCTTCCCCAGTTTCTCAAGTTCCGACTCATGACGCCGGTGTCACATACAATTGCAGCCGCCTCTGAGGGGGTCTGAAGCATGCTTGTTTTCTTCGTGTGCCCTGTCGCTGTAGGTTCTCTATTTGCAGGATTACCTGCTCTCATGCAAGAACACCTGCCTTATTGTCTCCCATGATCGTGGCTTCTTGAATGCAGTCTGCTCCGACATTATTCTGCTGAACGGCAAGAAGCTGACGTATTACAAGGCAAGTTGTGCATAGCACTAGGCGCTTGGTTATTAACGTCACTGTACATTCCATTGTCTGGGAAGGGCGACTACGACACCTATGTGCAGACGGTGAAGGAGACGCGACTTGCACAGCAGCGAGCCTACGACGCGCAGCAAAAAGAGATCTCCCATATCCTGGAGTTCATCAACAAGCATGATGAGCGGCCAAAGATTGTGGCACAGAAGGCCAGCTTTTGCAATCCAAGGCTTTTAGCCAGGCGTGAAAATACCTTGCACCACGAAGCCTGACAGCCAATCAACGGCTTGCTAATAGTAACGCAATGCGACGTGTGTGGATGCCAGTTAGCGTATGTGTGCAGAGGAGGGACCGAATAAAAGCTTGCTGCAATGCCTGAAAGATCACGCAAGGCAAGCAAGCAAAAGATGCTGGACAAGATGGAGAAGATCGAGGACACCTTCCCCTATGTAATATGGGGTTATATAGGGATCATGGAAAAGAAAATGGAAACTACAGGAATTATAGGGGTTATACTTTATCATCCGTGTTCCATTTCATTTTCCATGTTCTTTTCTGTTTGATTCTCTATCGCTAACCCTATGTATCCAAATAAGACCCCTGAGGGCCATGCCACCTTATATTCCACTATAGCTACCCTTATGGATGACGCTAGCCTTTCAAAGCAGACCTACCTAGTCAAGGATCCTGCCATAACTTTCAACGACGCGGCGTCTCTTTCCATCCGCTTTCCAGAGCCTGGGCTAGTCTTAAGGAATTCAAGATAAGCTATGGAAAAGGAAAGCCTTATTCTTTACCAAATATCCATCGTATAGTAGGACACTGACTGAGATACACAGTTTTCCCTGGCCCTTAGGGAAAACCCGCACGTTTCGGGCGTTGCGCCATTCATCCAAAGCAAACACAGCTTAATCCTAACCTCTATATCACGCAACATTACCCGCCCAAAACCCCCTGGGACTCCTGCAAAGGGACCTTAAACCCTAAACCCTTCAATTATACGCCTTAGTTAAAGCCAAGGAACCCGGCCAGCTGCCCAAAAATCAGCTCATTCAGTTCGATGGCATGAGCTCCTGGAATTCTGTTGAACTAAGTTTCCAAAATTAGGGGTGCTTTTTTCGTGGGTCCCCGTAATAAGGATGATAATAGTTTTAGGGGTTCCCCTATTCCTATAAACTATAATTTGAAGGGGTTCTATAAAGAATCTATGCATGTGTCCCGGCTCTGCGTTCCCAGCCGGTTCCATAATATGGTGCTGATCTCGGGAACCGGCCGTGTCTGTAAACTCCCACGAAATTTCTAGAAACCCCACACCACTGGGCTATGAAATCCGAAAGGCCCTTTAGAAACCCGTTACAAACCTTCCAGAACCTCTTTGACCTTTGGGAATTTCTGGAAGAGCCATGAACCCTGTTTACATACACACTACAAACCCTCTATAAACCCTCGAAGAACCCCCCTATTCACCTTCTACAAAACCTAACTTTCACCGCCAGACCACAGGCCACAGGATTACAGGGAGGGAAAAGATAAAGCCTGATGAAGCATCTTCATACGGGTTTCAGGTTTAGGGTTTGCGGAGGAGGAGGGGATGGCCCGTGAATGCTGACGCATTCTAGGGGTTATCTAAGGGTTGGTTTATGGTTTCGGGACCACAATGGAGAACCCAGTGGGTAAGAAAATCAACCATCAAATTGGGACTAGGGTTGAATAGGCAGTCAGAGGATGCAAATTGACTTGCTTTGATGTTGTTCTATATGGTAAATATTAGGGATTCCTTACACTTGTAACCTCGTTTAAGTTCCTTCCCAGCAACCCAGGCTTTGCGTATGCTGGCAAGGCCCCGCTGTTCGAGAATGCAACTGCCAACTTGGACATCTCTGGCAGGATTGGCATTTTGGGTGCGAATGGCGACGCTTGAAAGGACTCGGAAAACGTTCCCTAAACCCTAAACCCTAGGATAAGCTTTTCCTCAACTCTTCAGGTAATTCAGGAGATGGCCGCTGCTAGGTTTCCTTTGATCCACATATCCTTCTGGAGGTTCTGTCCCAAATATAACCTCAGTTGCCATTTGATTTTTCATGATGGGGGCTAGTACCCCTAAACCTTAAACCCTAAAACGTAATGATGGGCCTCGCTGTAAAGCGTTCTTCGTCGCATGGCGGTAGAGAAAAGGTCCCCGTTTCGTTTTCATGTCCTTTTCCATTTCGTTCGCCACTATGCCCCAGTAACCCTATTTGGAAGGGATCCGGGGTTTGCTTCGGGTTGGTAACAAGCCGGCCTTAGTCCACGGCAACGCTTTGAAATGATCTTTGTCGATAAAGGCACCATGGCGCTAGCTAAGCTGCACTTCACCCTAAACCCTAAACCGACCAGTCCTGAGTCCAAGAGACGCAGCAACACAACTAGGCAGTCTCTAGCGTCACTTCCCTTGCCACCAAATGAGCTATTGCATAAACTTAAAGGGGGATCATCTTAGGGAGAATTTTTGGGGTTATTACGGGGGATACTAGGAGTTTAGACTGTAGCTCACACGTTGATCATGCCAGTTTTCTCTTTTTCATGCTGAGTGTGCTCAGCTGAGGCTGGCAAATCCACTTTGTTGAAAGTGATGCAGAAGAAGCTGATACCAACCGCTGGGCAGATTGACATCAATCGCAATGCCAGAATAGGCGCTCCAGCCTTGTCATGAACACAAATAAGAGTATAATAGTACAAGATAATATGATATGATATTATAGTAATATTAATGCATAACAATAATATATGAAATGCCTACTAGCATTTGGGGTCTAGGGTTTAGGGTACTGCCCCCACCGAGTAACAGTTGGACAATAACTATAATATGGTTATATAGAGCCCTTAGTAGGACCCCTACTGTTACTGGGTGGGGGCAGTACCCAAGGTTTAGGGTTTAGGGTTTTGACACTTGGGCAGGCACCTTTGCTCAGCATCACGTGGATTCACTGGATCTGGATGCGACGTGCGTGGACTGTGTGCAAGCCAGCTTTCCCGGCATCACGGACCAAGAGGCAAGGCTTTCTTCTCATGTTGTTGGCCAAGGGGAATTAAACGTGGCAACCTGTTCTTTTCCAGGCTCGGGGCGTCTTGGGCAGGTTTGGCATCAGCGGTCGGCGGCCTGGAGATGGGAGCACGTAAGCAGATTGATGCATTTTCAGTCTGCTGGAATATGTGATCAGGTGACATGGCGCTGCGAAGGATCAAGACCTTGTCCGGTGGACAGAAGAGCCGCGTTGCTTTAGCCATCGTTACATATCGCCAGCTATTTGGCCGCAGTCCGGTATACCATCGGGGGCTCCATTCTGTCACATCCCCCTCAACCAGGTCTTCTCTACAGGTCGCACTCGGCACTTTGTGAGGGTTGATCTGGTGTCAGGCAAACTGTCATGTCCCCGAAGTGTGGAGCTCCTTTGAAATGTTGACCTAGCACAAGCGGCACGAATGCAAAAGCCCAATAACAAATCGAATGCTGCGAGTGAAAGAAAACATAATTGCTTTCTGCCGAGGCCCTTGGTAAAAATAGTAATAAAGATGGTAATAATAGCTATAGTAATAATAGTAATAGTAAAAGAAATAGTAATAGTAATAATAGTAGTTTTAATAGTAATGATAGTAATATTCATAGTAAAAGTCATAATAGTAAAAAAATAGTATTAACAGCCATAATAGTAATAGTAATATTCATTGTAATCACAATGTAATTAGCCGAGGCCCCATCTGATATATTTGGATGAGCCGACCAACCACTTAGACATGGAAACCATTGATGCGCTCATCGATGCCATCAAGGAGTTTCATGGTGCTGTGGTGATGGTTCCTTGATTCCTTGATGCAGACTATAGTGGTCCCACCTTAAACCCTAAACCCTAAAGCCTAAAACCTAAACCTTAAACCCTAAACATAAACCCAAAAGAGCCAGAAGGTTTGCAAGCCAAGGTGAGCCATGACCAGTATTTCCTCTCCCAGGTAGCTACTGAATTCTGGTCCGTGGCTGGTGGGAAACTATGTGAGCCTTGGCGGCACCAAGACCTTTCGGTATAGCTGTGACTCCGCTGGTTGTTATGCTTCTGAGGTGTACCGCGATCTTTCATCGGCAAAAGCGGCAACATATGGACGCTTGGCAGTCCAGGATGCCTTTTGACCCTTTCCCCACCTCAGACTTGACTGAGTCCTTTCTGCTAAGATGTTGGCCCCTGCAAGGCTGACTCGATGGTTGCTTTCAGCGCACATCCAGCACGGGTCTGTGTTTCTGAGGGCCAAGCAGCTCCGCAGAGGTCCAGACATACGGATGCGTCCTTTGCTCCCCTCGGACAGACGTCGACGACTCTCGTGCTGGTCCAGTCCAGCGTCCAAAGCGCCAACAGTTGCCAAAAAAAAAGCCTCTTTGTGCTGCAGCTGGGACATGTGGACAGCAGAGACATTTTGTGTAAGCCTTCAGCGGACGCTGGGAAGGTGTTGCAGTAGTCTGCAGGCTGCAAATTTCTGATCAGCAGCATATACCTGTTCTACCAAAGAGAAGCACGTGACCGGTCTTCTTGCATCCTGAAAAATCACGTTTCTGCTCAGTCTACTGAGCTTTCACTAAATGGTCACTGCAGGGTCTCTCCTGACTTCCAGGAAGCAGTTCCACCACATTCTGAATCATATATTCAGGGCAGCTATGATGGAGGGACAGGGTTGCTGGTATGGTTGGATATCGAGCCAAATTTTTGGCGGTGGGAAGGGTAGTATGCCCATAGCTGCAGGCAGATTGACCCTACATGGTCCAAGCACCTACGCGAGGGTTTGTTGTCTCTGCGTTTGCAAGATGATAGACTGTTCAGTTCGGATCTTCAGGCATGCATGAGTGTAGCCATTTGGCTGGGCTGGTCTGCTTAGCTGGCCTTTGCGCCAACATGTGGCCACTTTGGCTTCTTTCCACAGCGGTTGCAGGCCTGATGCTACATTTTCACATGCCATGAGATACTCAGCTCGCCAAAGGACATGTGGTCACGAATGTCGAGCACATCAAGCACTGCAAGTGGACAGCCCCGAAAAGAAGCGTTCCTCAGCGGTTTGTCAGTCTTGACATGCCTAATAACCTGCGGATGCGTGTGGGCATTCACTTGCGTGTCATTGGATGTGCTTTTTTGGGCGTATGTTGGAGATGCTGGATTTTGCTGCTGGGCATGTGTTGGAGTGAGACGCACATGCAGGTCACGGAAGCCTTCAACGATGCATTCAGCCACTCCTCTATCAGAGAAAGGTTTTCTTTTGAGTTTTTTCATGTGCCTTGTGTGCTTGACATTCCTGCCTTCAGTGCTTCTGAACTCGGGAGGTGACCAGAAGATGTGGATCACCTCATTCGCAGAGGCAAAGAATCAAAAAACTGTCAACGAAACAAGAAGCTGGACGGCAGTCAGTTGGGTGCAAGATCGTCTGATTTCAAGAGCTTGCCACTCGCGCACATGCCGAGTAATCGTGTCAACGTAAGGCGTGGTGCGATGGGTGGAAGATGAACTCCTAGGAGGGCCAGATCCTTTTGCAGAGACCGATGGTGGTGTGCCCATACCCTGGGATGCTCCGGTGTTGCAGATGGATGGGGGTACTCGGATCCCTCCAGACCAGTTGAAACCTTGGCAGTCTCTTGGCCACAAGCAGCACTTGCCTTTCAAACGGCAGGAATCCAATCCGTGCAAGACGGCCGTGTGCTGGTAAGGTACTGGAGCTATACAAGGCGTCAGGTGTGCTTTATTGTGGCCAAGTCACTGACAGGTCGGGTACATTTCTTGTTGGGCTCCCATAACTTCCATCCAATTCAGAACCTGCCTTGCTGACGCATGTGTTTTGCGACTAACTGGAGGCAGCAGCACAAAAGACTACGATAATGGCCTGCTTCCCGACTGCGATGAGAAGCATTGTCCTGACTGAGTCATTCATGGATTGCAAGAAGTCACTTGAGTACGTGACAACAAAAGGCAGCGCTTTCTGAATCGAGAAGGTGAGGAGCCTGATGCAGAAATTGGCGTGTCACAATAACAGTAACAATAATTGTTAATAATAATTGTGGGGTGACGAGCTGTCCTGGTCAGGTCTTGGTGGATGCCTTCCACGCAAAAGCGCATTTGGAAGATCATTTTGGGCATTGCTAGCTGTTTGCTCTGTAGATCCGACGCTGGAGAGTGGCAGCCAGGGTTCGCCGCTCAAGGCTATAACAAAATGCTGTCGCACGCAACAGCCGTGTGCATGGTCACCTTGTTCCAGCCCATGATTCGCAAGGTCCATTGCTCCTTGTTGCCAAGGGCTCCAGTGAAGTGGCCAGACCGCAAGTGAGACGAGCTAAGCTGCGGTCACTGTCACACAGCCTCAAATCATCTCAAATCCAAAGCAAAGGTGGCTGACAAGGATCTCCTACAAGGGGCAAGCATGTCTTCGGAGCTGAGCCTTGCTAAGCTTCGCACATGCCGCTTCGCAGACGGAGGCAGCAAGGACTTGGCAGGAGCTCTTCAAATATACTGCGGCTGGTTTTCTCCCAAGCACCTCCTAGAGAGTCTAGGGCGAATCTAGGGTAGTTGACAGTAGCCAGCGGCACCATTGACATTGGCACGCCAGTTTCTTTTGCTGACACCTGTCGCAGGAATTCCACGCGTTCCTGAGCAGTGGTGCAGTGAAAGAGTGGATTTCATGTCCGAACTCGGCGGGTATGGCCAGGCAGCTCAAGTGATGACGCAGAAGCTGGTAGGGGGCCATTTATTTGGTATTTCGTGCGGTCTTGGTGGTGGACAGAGTGAGCGCATTGCTTTCCACATGCCGGAGATGGCGGCGCTCTCCTTTTTTCTATCGCATTCCGACTGGTCAGATCCGCAGCTACATACTCCTCTTGTCTTGCTTGGTGCCCGTATTGTCCTAGATGGAATGGATGGCTCAGCACACTCCACGGAATACATTCTCAATGGAAGGGTTCCTCTGACAAGCGACCTGATGGAGGTAAAGATTGGCTCGCAAGTCATGAATGTCAGCACCTCCAAGCCCGTCATTGCATTTTCGGCCGAGACGCAGGACATGCTCGGCGTGTCGCTGAATTATGGTGAGATGCAGAAGGCTCGAATCAATCAACTTTCCAAGCACCTTGCTGGCACAGATGTAGCTGTTTATTTTATTTTTGCAACTGCGCTTGACATGAAGCCGCAATAGAATGCCTTTGCTAAACATGTTCCCCAATTCTGTGGAGGCAACGAGCCGGCCAAACTCTCGGGCATCGTGTGCGAATGTGGTATCGAGGCACTTAACGCAAAGTTTTCTTGAGCACTGGATGTCGCGCATGGAAAGACATGTCAAGGGCGCCTTAGAGCTGAGAGCAGCCCATGAGTGACATGACAGGAATGGCGCTTACATCATATGCGCCTGCGTTCAGATCAGTGTTGCTTGGTTGCATGCGGACTTGAGCCTCGACACCAGCACGTTCCGTCGCAGGGCGTCGTCGCGCGGCTGAGGATGCAGCAGGTCATCAAATCTATTGGTGTTGGGCCCTGGGGTGGAGGGCTTTCCTTTGGCGACTCCGCTGTGGGCTTCCTCGCTATGTGGATAGGGCATGCAGCTGCAGCAGGACATGTGTTGTGGAAGACTTGCTTGCAAGATTCCTGTGCCCAGGCAAATTGCCAGTGAGGTCTGGAAATGAAGCCCCAAACATGCTGTCAACATGAACGGTCCATTCCAGACCCTGCTTAGCCCCTACCGGCCCCAGCAGGCGCATGCAGCCACAGGCATGGCGTGTCTTGCAGAGCAGCCTGATGACTTTGCCTGGAAACATAAGCAACCCCCGCATACCTCTGACAAATATACTTGGTAATATTCTGTCATTACGAACATTTCCCTTGGTTCCTTTCTAGCCATGGTTTTCACAGCCCGCATGTCAGACGGCCTTTTTTGCGTGTTCCTGTCGCTTTTCCATTCTGCCTGCTCTGCGCCCCTGCGCACTAGTCTAAACAACTTACTGCGGGGTGGCAGTGAATCAGAGAGTATATTGTATAGGCATTATACATGGATTGTATTCCCTCAATCCATACTTACCACAGACAGACAGCAAATCTGCTCATAGGATGCACGTCTGTTCAGGGGGAAGCGCAAAAGGGCGGTCTGACATATAGTATAATAACCTGCTACCATAGTATAGTATAATTTGCTACCATAGTAGAATATGGTATGGTTCGGGCTTGAGCTTACACAGGAGCTGATGGGGCTTGAGCTTTGCGCCCAGGATCGCCCAGGTATCTACACACCTCAATAAGTTCTAATTAGACCCCGGCTTCAGTAAGCTGGGTGGGACCCCCCCAAACAAGAGGGGCTCTCTTGCCAGCTGGTTCAGAAGTGCAGGATCCTGGGGAGACGCAGGAATACCGCCTCTCGACTACTATCTTTACTCGGCGTTTACCGAGAATCCGAGCAACCAGTGCTTGGTGCCTGATCTTGATTAATCTTGACGTGCTGGAGTGCAACCAGCCCTGCCTCCTGCAAGTTGGACTGTTTCTGTGAAAGTGTTTTGAGCGTGTTTGCATGGTTTTGCACTGTTGGTATCTCCGGCGTCCAACAAACCGACAATCTGGGATGGAGTGCGCAGAAGTAAGGTTCACAGCTACTCCAACTGCATGGCATGCATCTGGGTTGCTGTTAAGGAACTTATTTTAAGTGACTATAGTGAGGAAGCCATATTAATCGCTATATATATATATACTCATTGTGGTAACTTAAACACTAAAGAAGATATGGCTGTTTCCAAAAATGCCGCGTCAGGAATTCATGAGAGGGCGCATGTTTGACCCCTCCGATACATATTCAGATACATATCTCGACACATACCTGGGCACATACCTCGATACATACCCCGATACATACCCCCACAACGTCCCTTTCGTCAAGAGCCCAGCACTACGAAACATACCCCGAAACATACCTCGAAACATAGCCCGAAACACACCCCAATCCAAACATGCTTTTTTGACCACGGCTTAGCAGGAAACTATATGCTCTATTGTTTACTGTATATACCCATAACGGGAATCTAATTTAAGTTCCTTAACAGCAACCAAGGCATTGCCGCGTGCAATGAGAGGAAGGTGTGGCCAGCAGGATATTGGTTGCCACAGTCTGTGCCTTTTGCTGCAGAGATTCCAGGGTGTGTAGTAATATAGCAATATAGTAGTAGAGTAACAGAGTAGCATAGTATTATAGTAATATAGTAGTATAGTCCTATAGTAGTATAGTAGTATAGCCCTCTGCAGAATTCGTCATCCGACACCAAGCTAATGCTGCAAAAGTCAATCGGCAACAGAGTCAAGCCCTCAGGAAACCTGAAAGAGAGAGAGAGAGAGAGAGTCAGCCCGTAGAAGAAGAAGAAGAAGAGCGTGGGGAGTTATCAGACGAAGCCAAAACGATTAGGGAGAAGTATTACCACGACAACATGTGAGAGAAGCATGGGGGCGATGAAAATAGGGGCATTGATGTATAAGAATTGTGGCTGTTGTTGGGGTGGCAAGGAGGCTGTCATGGGGGAAGTTTGTACATCAGGATAGATGTGTAATAGCGGCCAAGCCCCAAATTCGAACCGGGAAAGCAGTGTACCATACTGGCAGAGCACTGTAATCCCATTAACAGCCAATGGGCACAAGAAATCCCTCGAAATAAGAAAAGGCACGAGAGAAGAGCCGATCATACCGTCTACGGGGGAGACGGGCCAAAAGCAATACTGGAATTGTAATATGGTTCGCAGTTACCCCGGGAACAGTGCGCCAGGTAGGGAACATCAACAGCGGGTGCAATAGAAAGTAGAGCGGAAGTGTGAGTGATGGGTTTCTCACTAGTAATGCCCTACAAGCCCAGCTGACTGCACCACGCACAAGTTTCACACCATTTCCAATGCCACAGGGGTGAGCACCAGGGTCCGGTAGGGGCATATGGCCGACAGTGACGTGTATGAAGGATCCAAGAGAAATGAGGATGTACATTGGGAAATTCGACTAGAAGTGTCATGCACAAGGTGAGCAGTGAGAAGGGAAGAGTGATGACCATATGCTGTACGGGTGCTGATTGTGCTCTCAATTGGGGGTTAAGTGATGATCACTCTTCAACCTTACCTCGGCTCATGAACCAGCATTTGGCTGTTTTTGCTGAAGGTAGCCCCGACCATTTTCC